CTGAAGTGCATTCATCTTGGGGGAGGGAGGGTGTCCATGTAATTGGTTTTGGGGTCGACCCATAGACCTCTCTCTTGGTTCCCTGCTTCATGCTGGTATGTTGCATTCACGTCTTGACGCACCAGGGTTTTTTTGTTCTTTGATAGTCCATAGTACGTTCAATATTCTTTGCTAGTACCATAATTATTCTTCAGTCTTCTGAATACAATGTAAAAAAATTCACATGCATATTCAATCAGTATTTCACACATAAACTTTTATTCAACAAAGGGTCAATATATGAAGCTCTATATGTCCTCCATCTAAGTTAATACAATTCTGAAGTTAGTATTTCCTCCCCCCCAAATTCTTCATTTTTACATCTGTACCACATCAAAATGACAGTTTCAGCATTCTCAAGGGACTCAAGTGTGGCTACTTTGAAATAGTCTTAGAGCTTTAGTAAGAAAAATAATTTGGAAGGAGACAATCAGGCCTGTAAGTTGATGGGTAAGGTTTAAGAATGTCATTGAAGAATGAGCAGATCATTTGAAAATGATGGCAACCTATGCACAAATGTGCTTGATACAAGGGATGGATATATGGATTGTGATGAGAGCTGTAAGAGCCACCAATAAAATGATTATTTTAAAAAGAATGAGCAAATGATTCTTACTCCTTTCCTGCCATCAAGTCGACGGTGACTCCCAGTGACTCTACGGGACGGGTAAACTGCCCCTGTGGGCTCCTGAGACTGTAAGCTTTACAGGAATAGCAAGGCCTGCCTTTCTTCCATGGATCCACTGGCGGTTTCGACCCGCTGACCTGTGGTTAGCAGCCCAACACATAACCACAGGGTTTATCAAGATGACACACAAATGCCAGCGTACAACATTCCTGGCCTTTTTCTCACCAACGTCATTTTCAATTTCCTTGAAATTTCTTCATGATAAGCTTTCATTATTTCCTTCTGCTGTTTGAGGAAATCAATCAAAATAAAGCCATTGGAATGCCCCCCAAATAGTTGTGATAACCTATGACCGGACCTCTCTGCCTTGAACTTCGTTGGCCCAGTAGATCCTCTTAGAAATCACTGTTTTGATTGAACACCTTTTTGGGGGGGAAGAGACCCTAATATGACTAAGCCATAATTTATCTGTAGCCATCCACTGAATCCAGGGATATGTTTGAACATATTTTGTTCAGAATATCTGTGTGTATGAACGAGAAGTGGCAATGCTATGTGACTTACCCTTGGATACTTATGGCGCGGACTATAATACTCTCTTTTTCAGATATCAGAACTACTGATCCACAAGCTCAACCAAAACGCCGTGCACTTCGAACTGAAGCCCGGGGTCCAAGTCCTCGTCCATGCAGCTCACTTAACAGCAGGTCAGTGTCCGTGTGTCCGGGTTCTGCTTGAGTCTCTGGGAAAGCGAGATCCAAGTTTGTGCTTCCGTTCACCTTAGCAAGGAGAGATGGTGCCACTGCCAATCAGAAGCCGGGCAGCTGTTCTTTGTAACCCCTTGCTTGGTTGGCATCTCTCCCTTAATGAGAATCCACTTAGAAGACAGGGTACAGTGACATGTCTCACTTTATTTTTGGTAAAAACCATCAGGGAATTGTCTAAATTTGCACCACTCAATTCACCCGATAACTTTTTTGTTGCTTCATCTTAACAGAAATATTGAAAATTAAGTTAACTTTATCAATAACTTTCTCTGCTCTTTCTACAAAATTCTATCTTCAAATCATTCGTGTTACTAGGCGTTGTTTCACGTTTCAAGATACCATTGTGCAGTGGAAATAGAAGGTACTTCAGAGTGACACAGGGTTACAGCCAGGCGTTGCTCTTTGCCCTGCAGTTTCTTAATCTCGCTGAGCTTCTGTCTCTTACCTATAAGTTAAAAGTTGGGTAAAAATCTTCCTTCTAAGTTGATGCTGAAGTTTCATGATAATGCAAGTAAACTCACGCACCTGAGATTAATTATTATTGTGCTAACAATAATAATTTAGCAATAAATATTTATTACGTTTTGTGTGCAACATATGGTACAAAAAGTACAAAGGATGGAGTACAAGGGCCACTGGGAAAGAGTCTTTATCCTCAAAGAATTGAATACAGTTGTATTGTTTATCAGTAGCACAGTTGTGACTGTGTCGTGTTGTGTTTAGGGAGGGGAAATGGAAATGAGGGAGTGACTCAGGCCATCAGTAACAAGCATAAACCTAGTGAAGGAGGTAATTAGTACTTAAAGCCTTAGATCTC